CCATTTATCTATTGCTCGTCTTAGCTTTAGGAGTATTGTCGGTTATTATAACCATTTACGTTCTGGATTGTCACCACAAAGATGAAGACATCCCGGTTCCAAAATGGCTGACAAGACTGTCGACTGGTTGCCTTGCCAAATTTGCATGTTGGAAAGATTATAAATGTTTATGTGGACGACAGGTATATCCAGACGGAAACAAGGAGTATATGAAAGAAACAGAAAAGAAAGTCAAACTCAGTGACGAGAAACGTGCATCTTTTAACGATAAAGAACGTAAAAACGATATTCTTACCTGGAAAGACATATGTCATATTTTAGATGCGTTTTTCTTAAGAGTGTATCTCATGACAATTGTTGTTATGACGGTGTTATTGTTACTGACATTGGTGATAGGTTATTCTGTCAAATGAATATTCAATTTAAATTAGGATTACTAATAGCTTGAAACACTATATATTTTCAATGAAGATTCGATGTCTTGGATCACTATATATTTTCAATGAGGAATCGATGTCTTGGAACACTATATATTTTCAATGAGGAATCGATGTTTTGGAACACTATATATTTTCAATGAGGAATCGATGTCTTGGAACGCTATATATTTTCAATGAGGAATCGATGTCTTGGAACACTATACATTTTCAACGAGGATTCGATGTCTTGGAACACTAGATATTTTCAATGAAGATTCGAAGTCTTGGAACACTATATATATTTTCAATGAGGATTCGATGTCTTAGAACACTATATATTTTCAATGAAGATTCGATGTCTTGGAACACTATATATTTTCAATGAAGATTCGAAGTCTTGGAACACTATATATTTTCAATGAAGAATCGATGTCTTGGAACACTGTATATTTTCAATGAGGATTCGATGATTTGGAACACTATATATTTTCAAAGAAGATTCGATGTCTTGGAATAAAAGAATGATTTTTCAAACTTATTTGATGTCCTTTACATCGCCATGTCTTTCAAAGTTGAATCGTGCTATACTGTTTTATCATTTGAGTTTAAAACCTGATAAAATTGTACTCTTATTTCAAGTCAATTCGTCATCTCAAACTTTGTGTGAACAGTGTCAAAGATGACGTAAATTCAAGCACATTGTTATTTGTAAATTCACTTCACGCTGTTATATTGCACTAATTGACATATTATTTATAATTGTTTGTTAATTTGATACAGTTTTCTCAACTTGTCTGTAAGATATTTGAATAATTTACTTCTATATATTCCCGCAACCTCCTTTTTCTGATGTAATTTTTGTGATATGCTACTATTCCCGCACCCTCAGTGTCCCTAATGTCATTTTTGTGATATGCTACTATTCCCGCACCCTCAGTGTCCCTAATGTCATTTTTGTGATATGCTACTATTCCTGCATCCTCTGTTTTCCTAATGTCATTTTTGTGATATACTACTATTCCCTTATCCTCCGTATTTCTAATGTCATTTTTGTGATATGCTACTATTCCCGCACCCTCAGTGTCCCTAATGTCATTTTTGTGATATACTACTATTCCCGCACCCTCAGTGTCCCTAATGTCATTTTTGTGATATACTACTATTCCCGCACCCTCAGTGTCCCTAATGTCATTTTTGTGATATACTACTATTCCCGCACCCTCAGTGTCCCTAATGTCATTTTTGTGATATACTACTATTCCCGCACCCTCAGTGTCCCTAATGTCATTTTTGTGATATACTACTATTCCCGCACCCTCAGTGTCCCTAATGTCATTTTTGTGATATGCTACTATTCCTGCATCCTCTGTTTTCCTAATGTCATTTTTGTGATATACTACTATTCCCTTATCCTCCGTATTTCTAATGTCATTTTTGTGATATACTACTATTCCCGCACCCTCAGTGTCCCTAATGTCATTTTTGTGATATACTACTATTCCCGCACCCTCAGTGTCCCTAATGTCATTTTTGTGATATACTACTATTCCCGCACCCTCAGTGTCCCTAATGTCATTTTTGTGATATACTACTATTCCCTTATCCTCCGTTTACCTAATGTCATTTTCCGTTTTCCTAATGTCATTTTTGTGACATGATACTATTCCCACACCCCCTCCCCCCTTTTTTCTTAATGTCATTTTTGTCATATGCTACTATTCCCGCACCTTCCGTTTTCCTAATGTTAATTTTTGTGATATGCTACTATTTCCGAGCCCTCTGTTTTCCTAATGTCATTTTTGTGATTTGCTAATATTCCCACACCCTCGGTTTTTCTAATGTCATTTTTGTGATATACTACTATTCCCGAACCCTCCGTTTTCCTTATGTAATTTTTGTGATATGCTACTATTCCCACACCCTCAGTGCCCCTAATGTCATTTTTGTGATATACTACTATTCCCTTATCCTCCGGATCCGTTTTCCTAATATCATTTTTGTGAACAGGATACAGTGTATGTGATAACAGAAGGCAGTTAAGGAAGTCTTTAGTGTAATGAAGTATGTGGAATTACAGATTAACCGGGGAGAAAGCAAAATTACAACATTCTAACTGTTTGATAGATTGATTGTTTGATTTATACCCAGTGGCAAGTATTTCACTTACATTTAGTACGAGATCAATCAAATATAAATAACTAAACTAGGTAAATGTAAACAAAAGTAGAAAGATCGGAATGAGGGTTTGAAAATACTGCAAATGAAAGAAAATAGTATGTTTTATTGAACAATAATTGTCACCCTTCCAACCGATTCTTCATGGACCCGTACAATTTGTTTACAAGAGCAACTGTTTGAGCGTTGAGTTTGTAATTACATGAGCAAAACTGGTGTAGCCGAATCTGCTTACCCTTCCAGAGTACCTAAAATCACCCCGGGTTTATAGTTGGGCTCATGTTGCCAATCTTTAATTTTCTATGCTATGTTTATTTACTGTTAATTGTCATTTTTTTGTTGGTTTTTTTTTGCCATGGCTTTGTCAGTTTGTTTTCGACCCATGACTTTAATTATTTCTTTGGTATCCATCGGACAAGAGCAAGTTTATTGTCTCCATAGTAGGTTGATAAGTTTACCATGTTTACTTTGCATATTCACCGATTTAATTTCTTAAAATCACAGAAAAAAGAAATTAAAATCAAATGCAACACTTGATGGTTACAAATCATCAACGGACTAAATTAAATGTATCGTATTTATCAACGGACAGTTTATTTCTAATTTTATTAATCATTTTATTTAAATTACTGTATTAATATCACATTGCCATTATGTCTTTCCAGTGCTGTGTTAGAGATTTGAAGGTTACAATAAACCATTATATTTTATGGGCGCAGCCATTTTAGGGGGTAAATTCAGTAAATAGATATACGTCATCAAGGACCGCCCATTTGGGGGAGAGATTTCTGTATAAAACTGAAGACCTGTGTTGCAATGATTGGATACCGACCGTGCAAGGGCTGTATAGCCAGTCAAGGTCGTTAAAAACTTCCATTTGTTGTCAATGATTGGTAGATAAAGTTTTCAATAATTTTTTTTTTTGATTGGATGGATCAAAACTAAGGTTAAAGAAATAAATAAATAATGCTGAATGCATTTAAAAAAATTTAAAACAGGATTTAAAAGTGATGGGGTTATTGTAGGAATTAAGTGCGAAACTACAGTGTTTGTAAACTGTCCCAGGTTAGGGGAGGGTTGGGATCCCGCTAACCTGTTTAACCCCGCCACATTCTGTATGTATATGCCTGTCCCAAGTAAGGAGCCTGTAATTCAGTGGTTGTCGTTTGTTGATGTGTTACATATTTGTTTTTCGTTCATTTTTTGTACATAAATTAGGCCGTTGGTTTTCTCGTTTGAATTGTTTTACATTTGTCATTTCGGGGCCTTTAATAGCTGACGATGCGGTATGGGCTTTGCTCATTGTTGAAGGCCGTACGGTGACCTATATAGTTGGTAATTTCTGTGTCATTTGGTCTCTTGTGGAGAGTTGTCTCATTGGCAATCATATCACATCTTCTTTTTTTTATATATAAAGCCATGTGGACGGCCCAAAAATGCCGCATGACCCTATGTTTTGACGGTTGCAAAAGATGGGGCTACATTTGTACTTAAATGAATGATATATGAAAACTTCTAATTTCTAAAGGTAAAAAAGTTATAAATTTAATTGAACATGTAGGTTTACATTGAAGTTAACGGGAGATTTTTAACTGAATTTACCCGGCCTATATGAAGATAACATGGTATTCAGAATTACCGACCGTGCGAGGGCTTACCAGCCAGTCAACTTGAAGGTCGTTAAACACCACCAGTTAGAATTAAGAGTATGGCTAATCCTGATTGGTCGATATGTGCGCCCTTTATTTTTAATTATTAAACACTTTGTGCATTATGCATTATAACAAAGGCCAAATAAATTATTTTCCTTAGCCCTAACGGAACTGATAAGTCTTTTCAACGCTAGGATGAGACAAGTATTTTTAAGTGCAAAATTGATAGGCATGGGAGATAAGTACAAATTACATTAAGAAAAGCATCGGGAACCTATATTTTTTGGACCAAAAAATACTGTCCGAATACTTTTTCTTTAATTCTAGCAAAGTTTCGTTAAAAAAATCAACTTTCTGAAGTCTGTATCTCGAAAAAGGCTATCATTGTCGCCTATAGGGAAACTAATTGTTTATTTCAATCTGAAGGAGTTTTATATCGCCTTTCAGTTTTTATTAGACATTAAAAACATTTTGACTATTAAATCTTCTGTTGCCGTGTTCTTTTTGTAATAAAAGTTAAACAATTTGTCTAGATACTCAGTATTATTTCAAATGAAATATAAATACGGCAAATCATCAAATCAAACAAAATTTGCAGAACGTCTCTTAAACATTGATCTCCACGGACCCGAAGCTTATTCGTACCAACGGACTTTTCTACTGTGTAACTTCATAAATCCGAAGAAGTATAGTAAACCAAATGATGCCCTGGAAATTTGAAACCATTGATTTAAACATTTACCTATCGTTGGAATTTATCAAAGTTAGGTCATTTACACATGTTAAAGAAGTAATCACGTTTAAAAATAGTCGAAATGGAAAAATATTTTAACAATTGAAGACACTTAATTTGTTTTAAAAATGTGAGTATGTTGCTTCTGGTTCAAATGCTTTGCATTGCAACTTTTTGTAGTAGAAGTGACCTCTTGATCAATCAATTGACTGAGGTTTACGTTGTTTTACTGCTAATGTTACTTTCGGTTTATTTTCTCGGAGAACGTATACATTAAGGGGGAGGGTTGAGATCTCACAAAACATGTTTAACCCCGCCACATTTATGCGCCTGTCCCAAGTCAGGAGACTCTGGCCTTTACGTTCATTTAAATGTTTTGGAAATTAGTGTGACGTCCATTTTCGCTGAACAAGTACACATGTTTGTTTAGGAGCCAGCTGAGGACCGCCTCCTCGCTGTGTTAAAGACCCTTTCGTGGCCTTGGGCTGTTTGTTGCTTTTTGGTTGGGTTGTTGACATATTACCGGTTTCTATTCTCAATTTTATGATATACTGTCTGTTTTTCTACTATCCGGATTTTCATGTTTACGTTTGTTGGAGAGAGAGAGAGAGAGAGAGAGAGAGAGAGAGAAAATTCAAATAATGTATATTAACCTTTGAGAACAAAAAAAAAACCCCGAAATCTATAAAAACTTTGATGCACGAAAATAACCGTATACCTGAGTATGGAACGCCAAAACTGTCTTAGTATGCCCATTTTCATTATATGATGTGCGTTTACCTTTACATGATGTGCACTTGTCATTATATGATGTGCGAAAACCTTTATATGGTGTCCAGTTGACATTATATGATGTACAAACATACTTATATGATGTGCAAATATACTTATATGATGTGCAAATGTACCTATATGATGTGCAAACATCCTTATAGGATGTGCAAATATACTTATATGATGTGCAAATGTACTTATATGATGTGCAAATGTACTTATATGATGTGCAAATGTACTTATATGATGTGTAAATATACTTATATGATGTGCAAATATACTTATATGATGTGCAAAGATCCTTATATCTGATGTGCAAATATACTTATATGATGTGCAAATATCCTTATATGATTTGCAAATATCCTTAAATGATGTGCATTTGTCCTTATATTATGTGCAAACATCTTTATATGATGTGCTTGTGTCATTATATTATGTGCATGTAACATTATATGATGTGGTTCGGACTACTTCATTATATGATGTCAAAACGTACTTATATGATATATGCTTTCATCGTTGTTATGGTCAATAAACATGATCACGATTAGAACGATTACTGTCTACGTCATAACTGATTCCGATCTGCTTCACCGGAATTACGGCTCGCTCAAATCTGTAACTATTGTTTGTAAAATGGATGAGATTTTAAAAGAGATAAACCTTGTCACGTTGGTACCTCGTTTTAAAGATGAAAAAATCACATCTGATATTGTTGGAAAGTTGTCAAAATATGAATTGCAAAGTTAGAAATTTAATGGATGAGTCTACAATAATGAACATACGGTTAAAATGATTAAATTATGGGTCCTCGACTGTGTACCGAGAACCTGGATTTCAAATAATTGATCTACCAGAGGATATTCTGCTTTTTTTTTTGAAACCCAGTCTATTGTTTCTGATCTACCAGCTCCAGCCTGGTATCAGCTTCCGAAAGTGCAATTTATAGAAAAAATGAGACAATGGAATTTAATAAAAGTCAACGTTTCAAACATTTCCTTGGAAGATTTTAGATCCATTAATACAGGAGCTAGTTGAAGAATTTCTCTGCTATGACGAAAATATGATAAAACAATTTTTTTTTGCAAACGACAGCAATTCCGATACGATTGTTCCCTCTTTTTGAATTGCTGCTTTATCTTAATTCATTTCCTATACCAATTAAATCACAGTCATTTTTAAAAGTATTTCAAAACAATAGTTATAGAAATTTTGTACTCATGAATAATTATACTGGAATGGATGGTTGATTGAATGATTTATTTGTATTTAACGCCACTTTCAGCACTATCGTGCTATTTCGTGGCGGTCAGTATTTTTTGGTGGAGGAAGCCGGAGTGCCCGGAGAGAACCACCGACCTTCGGTAGGAAAACTGACAATTCTAGTCAATTTAAGATTGGACTCGAGCGTAACTGCCACGTGCGGGATTCGAACTCACAACTTAAGTTTTGACAGGCTAGTGATACAGTTGTTTGACTACTTAGACCACACCGCCACCTCGGCCCCCTCGGTATAGATGAAAGGAGATATGGAAAAAAAATTAAATTGTTTTGTTTTCTGTGACTTTCCTAAAGCTTTTGACAAAGTTTGGTACAGAGGCCTTATATCTAAACTAAAAGATTATGTGTATTTACGGAAGCTTGTTACATTTGATTGAAAATTATCTACATGATAGAAAACAGAGTAGTATTGCATAATTCGTCTTCTTCCTTCTGTAATGTTTTAGCTGGTGTTCCTCAGGGATCAGTTATGGTCCCTCTTCTCTTTGACTTATATATTAATGATACTGCTGATAAGCTTACATCACTGTATCGGCTATTTGCTGATGACACATCATTCAGTTATTCTGGTAACGATGGAGAACAGATTAGATATGTTATGGATCCGACCTGAAAGAGCTGGATGTTTGGTCTACTAAATGGCTTATGTCATTTAACCCTGATAAAACCGAAATTATGATTTTCTCAAATATTGAGATTCCAGACCTCAGCTTTTCCTTAAATTACGACGACTAGGGGAGGGGGGTTAACGACCTTGAGTACCCATGAGGGTCTTGCACGGTCGGTTCCTTAAATGGTAAAAATATCCCTTTATGAGATGTACTTTCTTAAATGGTAAAACTATCCCTTTAAGTACGTCATCTCATAAGCACCGAGGAGATAATTTCAGTAGTGACGCAAAATGGAACAATCATATTGAAAATATAATTATAAGTGTAAATAAACACTTGAATGTTTACGTAAACTTAAATACCGACTATCTCGAAACAACTTAGATAAACTGTACCTAGTTTTTTATTCGACCCATTTTTGAATATGCCACGGAAGTGTGGGATAAAATTTGCAATAAGAGGCCACAAGAATTGTAACCGGTCTACCAATTTTCACTAAAACTGAAACCTTATACTCTGAGGTTGGCTGGGAATCTCTTTTTGAAAGAAGAAGAAGACGAAAATTACAGATGTTTTATAATATGAACCAAAACCATGCACCAGAGTACCTAATATGTAATCTTGTACCTCCATGTATACAAAGTACAACCAACTATCCGTTGCGAAATGGTCATGACATTATTGTAGACTTTCCTTTACAACTGAATCGTTTATTCCCTCCACAATACGTGAGTGGAATAAACTTGATCCAAAATTTCGCAGCGTCGACTCTATATCTAATTTAAGAAAGAATTGAAATGTGATAGTCTCCTAAGTAAAGTTGAAACGTTTTATTTGTACGGCCCGAGGAAATTGAATATTATTTTAATGCAATTGCGATGCTCCGCTTCATTCTTAAACTATGACAATTTTCGAGCTAACATTATAAATGATCCTTCTTGCTAATGTGGGTCAGATATTGAGGATGTTCATCATTTTTTTTTTTAAATGTTTGATTCAAAATTTCTTGAAAAAGACATTATTTGTTTAAGAAGGGAAGCAAACAAAAAAGATTGTTTCCATTGAAAATGTCTTTCCTATTTAGAGTTAGTTACTTCTATAAGAAGTTAATACACAAATTTTAAGTGTGTTCATTTTTTGTAAATTTTGTATTGCTGATCATTTAAAATAGCAGTTCAAGTTTCTCTTTACATATAACGTTTCTCAAGATATTAGTAAAAAAGAAGCAAAAATGGACAAAAATCGGACATTGGAAGGGTAATAACTCCTGTAAGTCACCGATCATTTGTAACCTAAAAAAGGGGATATTAGGAAAATGGAAAGGGTATCCAATTTTTTATACGAACGCAAACATTTGCGGCCGTATAATGGTATGGCGATGTCGTCGTTGTCGTCGTCCGAAGTCATTTGGTTTCCAGACAATAACTTGCGTATAAGTGTATGGATCTCTTTCAAAATTGTTCTACAAGGTTCCATACCAAAAAAGAAGTTTGGGATTGATTTTTGGAGGTATTGTCTTAACTGTTTAGGAATAAGAGGCCAAAAACAAGCATTTTTCTTGTTTCAGGAAAATAAATCGAAATTTGTTTACAAAATTTAAGCAATTCTGTATTTCAAATTTTTTAACATGCAAATATGATAGCTTATATGATGAATACACTAAATCCTAAATCAATATCTGATTATTTAGCAGGTGTATATTACACTTGATTCAGATGTCATATCTGTATCTCTTATGGCATCATTTTTGGCTTCAATCTTCATTTCAATATTTGTTTTATGTAAGTCATGACCATCTTCTGTTTGTTTATTGGACACGAAGAAAGACAATATCAGAGATTATTGGTTTAGTCTCTTAGTTTTTGCAGGTTTTCGAAGCTTTCCATATAGTAAAAAAAACTTATAATACACTTCCATCTACTGTAAACAAAATATAATGTTTTGGCTCGAAAGATGTTAATTTTTTTTCGCCTTGCTCCGCTCGCCTCAATTTTTAAGATAAAAATTCCTAAGTTTCAACATGTTCTTCCAGGACAGTATTTTTCATTTGAAGTTAAAATTGAATGAAGATGTGGTAAATATCAATGAGACCATAACCGGCATATCCAAATAAAGTTTTTTAAAGTCGCAAACGACTTCCACAACTAAAGTTCTAGATCCACTACTGATGCAATATTTTATACTTATAATAGAAAAAGAAATTGTATTCATTTTTTTGTTATAACGGACAGAAGTATTGAGAAATGTATGTGCGTGTGGGGTGCCTTTGGAAAGGGGGAGGGGGGTGTCTTTTCTTCTTCAATGTGGGGACTTGAAAAAATAAGAGTAATTCCAATGTTTCCTCCAAGGTTCCCCAATGAAAGAAAATTAGTAGTCCCTTGGTAGTTAATTTATAATTTCAGTAATGTTTAAGAGAGCTACCATTTGATTTTTATGGAGGGGGGGGTAGGATGAAATTTGAAAAAATAAAATTAAAAGCCACCGTTGCAAACTGAATCTCCCCGAACTAAACCGTTATCGAGAAATAAAAATTATTTCAAGGGTTCACAATTTTGGTATGCTTGGAGGGACTAATATTTACAAAACATTATTTTTTACTTGTATAAAATGAGTTAAAAGTCATAACAAGATCCAAAATCAATATGAAAAAGCTAGGGCTAACTATTTGGGCATTGCTATAGATTGTGTATTGCTCACCATTTCAACTGTTTACAGTCCCCCCCCCTCGAAGAAAAATGAACGGTCGGTACCTTAGCCCTTTTAACAGTTCGGTGCATTGAGTCTGGAGGTTTGTATATAAGCGAGATTTAAGTCCCAAAGACCTCTGGATGATTGTGGGAAGATCCTTTTATGTTGCGGGTAGCTGTCTAGTTGAAGCTGTAATAAAAATGTGAGCAAACGAAATTAAAAAAAACTGCTCGCAAATGTAATGATTTTTACGTGTAAATGTAAGTGCAAATGTAATGCATCCCATATCTCCTTTCATCCATCCCGGTATAATTATGCATGCGTAGAAACTTTTATAGCTTATAATATAAAATACTGTTTAAAATGACTGTGACTTAAATGGTATAGCAATACAGCTAAAGTTCCTTTATCAAATTTTTGGCAGAGGAGGAAAATCTTTCAACTAGCTCCTTTTTTAATGGATCTAAATCTTCCTCCAAAATGTTTGAAACGTTGATTTTAGTTAAATTGCACTGTGTAATTTTTTCAATGAATTGCACTGTCTCACTTTTTCTATAACTTGCACTTTCGGAAGCTGATACGAGGCTGGAGCTGCTAGATCAGAAACAGTAAACTTTCATTAAAAAAGCAGGATAATCTCAGGTAGATCAAATATTTGAACTCCAGGTACAGTCGAGTACCCATAATATCAATCTAATTAAAATTCATATCTATATAAACTGGCGTGCTCGTACACATATGAGTATAACGAAATCAGAGAACTATATCTTAATTAGATTGCCATAATATAATCCACTTAACCGTATGTTAACTATTTTATAGACCCATCGATAAAACATACACTTTGCAATTCATATTTTGACAATTTTCCAACAATATCAGATGTGATTTTTTCATCTTTGAAACGAAGTAGCAACGTGGCAAGGTTTATCTCTTTTAAATCTCATCCATTTTCCAAACGATAGTTACAGATTTGAGCCGTAATTCCGGGAAGCAGATCGGAATCAGTTAGGACGTAGACATTAATCGTTCTAATCGTGATCATGTTTATTGACCATAACAACGATGAAAGCACATCATATAAGTACGTTTAGACATCATATAATGAACTAATCCGAACCACATCATATAATGTTACATGCACATAATATAATGACACAAGCACATCATATAAAGATGTTTGCACATAATATAAGGAAAAATGCACATCATATAAGGATATTTGCACATCATATAAGTATATTTGCACATCATATAAGGATCTTTGCACATCATATAAGTACATTTGCACATCATATAAGTACATTTGTACACCATATAAGTATATTTGCACATCATATAAGTACATTTGCACATCATATAAGTATATTTGTACATCATATAAGGATGTTTGTACATCATATAAGTATATTTGCACATCATATAAGTATATTTGCACATCATATAATGACAAGTGCACATCATATAAAGGTAAATGCACATCATATAATGAAAATGGGCATAATAAGACAGTTTTGGCGTTCCATACCTGAGTCTCTGAATGACATTAATACTGATTAGTATATGTACGTAACATTGTACATACCCTTGTCCTTTGGTGTTTGGTGAATATTTGTTTCATTGGAAATCATACCACATCTTTTCTTATTTTGTCAATGTATTCTATTTGCAGATTACGACAATGGAACATTCGAACTACATGATGGTCGCAGCTTTAGATTTTGGTACAACCTATAGCGGTTATGCCTTCTCTTTTAGGAACGATTTTGAAACCGATCCGTTAAAAATACAAGCAAATCCAGTATGGATGACTGGAAGTTCTCAATTTATGTCACTTAAAACTCCAACCTGTCTCCTATTAGACAAAGACCAAAAGTTTGTAGCATTCGGATTCCAAGCAGAGAATATGTATGCAGAGTGTGTATTGGACGAACTGCAAGATGATTTTTATTATTTTCATCGTTTTAAAATGTACCTGCACAGCAATAAGGTATTTAATTTTGGAAGACCACAAGTGAGAGATACTATAAGACACGATACTCAGCATCGTGTCTCTGAATACATTGTTTCTCATATAAAATAAATATAAGATAGAAATTTCACGCTATATCTTCTTTTATAATGTCGTATTATAATTATAACATTGAAAAACTTTATACATTTCAAACCTGAAAATGTTGACATCTTTCTCCATCATTTGCCAGCATTATCTACTAATTCAAAATATTGATGATGACAATTAAAGGGAATCCACTATTCGAAAACGGAATTATAAGTTCAAAGTTTAAAATCAAATCAGATGATGTAATTATTTTTAGACTTGCCCATCAATGATAATAATGTTATTCAAGAAAAAAGAATATGGGATAATCATGTCTTAAATATTTCAGAACATTACAAGCACGATGGTTTTGGAAGATATAACAGGAAAGACTCTGTCGGCTTTCGATGTTTTCAAATTGTCTATAAAAGCTCTAGTAAACCATCTATTGGAAACTTTAGACAAACAAGGGACTGGTGTAAAACATGAAGAAGTTCAATGGGTCCTTACTGTTCCTGCTATATGGACAGATACAGCTAAACAGTTCATGAGGTCTAGTGCTGAGGAGGTAACTCTAAATAATGAACTCTTAGCAGCTGACTTATCAATATTTAAATTCCATTTATGATATAGACATAATCACATTCCATAATGCAGGCGTCACACTGTCCCGGACTTAACACCATACGAATATGGAATTTTAAATTTTGCACGAAGATGGCCCCGATCTTGGTCAACAGCCAATCATTAGCCAAAACAAGTACGATGCCTACAGAAGACCACACGATGGCACCCGAACCACACACGAAGGCAACACAATGATGTGAATTTTTATTAAAAATTTTCCCCGCAGGACACACGAATGCCACACGATGGCTACACAACATCGTATTTAGAGGACGATGCGTTCGAACCAGGCATGGGGCGAATTACATTGCAATGTAATGCATTACATTACAATTACTTGGACAAAACCAGCATTATATTACAATTACAATTACAATTACATGTATTTTGGAAAGTAATGCATTAAATTACAATTACTTTACCAAAGTAATGCATTATATTACACATTACATTTTATAAATTTTATTATCAAAAGAAACATGTATACAACATTTTATACTGCAATCGTGGTAACTATTAAATAGATATTATAAAAATCCTTTCGTTGCCCTATTAAACCAAATGACAAAACTGTCAAGCAGACGTGATTAGCTTCCTGAAGGTTATCAAACAAATTTTGACAAACGTCCTTGGCCTTATTCTGTATCAATTTAGATGTTTCCTGCTTGGAATTTGAAATTTTAAGTTAAGCTTTTCTATAAAGTTCTTAAACTTTTGACTTTCAACTGTTGAAAATTGGAGTAAATCACTTCTAGCAATATACTCGAAAAGTGAATCTATAGCTTCGAATTACAGGTAAATATCAAGATGTCAGTCCTTAAGAGGACCCCCTAATCCCTAATGTTGTTTTAGTCTATTTATCAAATGTTGGAGAAACGTGATCACACCCTTTGTTTTGCTTTGGGTCATTTAATTAATTGATATTTCTGAATACCAGATGGGCTTACAAAATTTGCCAAGGTTGAGTGTTCTTCTGGTCAGGTTTTTATATTTCGTAGTATACATCTCTGTGTTTTCTCAAAAAAGAAATAACAGAAATGTTGTAAGGAATTTATTCTTCCATGATGATTTTTGATTATATTGTTAACTTAATCTCAATGTTAATTAATTACTTTAGAATCACAAATTCACTTTTGTCAAAAGAAAGGAATTGATTGCTATACAAATTAATTAGTGGTTTTTGTAAGGTGTCAATTATCAATCATTCAACTTATTTCTTCTATCTTTAAATATATATGTATAGGTTTTTCAATGACTATAATGGTATATGAAAATGACTGCAAATAAAAAATAATATTACTTCTGTATGTTTATAAAATAGATCTGTTTTAATTTTTAGTGTAAATGTTTTAGTATTAAGGTAAGATGAAGAAAATCATTAGTTTTACAACAGTTCAAATCTACACTGTTTGTTAATCCTTTAACTAGACATTGATTTGTGTTTTATTTTCCTATTTTCTTAAAGGAAAGAATAAAACAGTAGTACTTATTATCCCTGAAATTTGAATAAATATATAGCACTATCAGACAAGAAGTAATGCTATGTAATGCCATGTAATGCATAAATTACATGCATTTTTGTAATGTAATGCAAAAAATTTGGGCATTACACATTACATGCATTACTTAGGGAAATGTAATGCATTACAGGGCATTACAATTACAAATTAGCATTACCCCATGCCTGGTTCGAACTAGGTCACGAAGGCGTCACGAGACCTACCGATGGCATAAAACATACGGTCTACCGTTGGAAATTAAGTTTAATTACCGTATTGTTTGTCCTTCATTCTCACTTAAGGCCACACCAATTTACTGTTTAGTTCTTTGGATTTTTAAATGGAAAAAAAGGCTGAACGAGCGATTCTTTTTCTTTTTCTTTTTTTATCATAATGCCATTTTTTCTGGCGAAGAGAATTTTATGGAGCGTGTGACTTTTTTTAAATTTATTCTCCATAAAATTGTTATATCAAGCGAAGGAAAGACCGTACACCATATATTGATCAACTTACTTTCAAGTCTGATCATTCTGTAATAGCTAAAATGAGATTAAGTGCACATTCCCTTGAAACAGAAAGATGGAGATAATAACAGAACAGTTTGAAATGAAAGATTACTTTAAAAGTAAAATAGCAAAATACCGAACTCCAAGGAAAATTCAAAACGAAAAGTTCTTTATCAAATGACAAAATCAAAAGCTCAACACTGCATTTTATATTTCGCATCTTCTGTCAGATCTGATATTTCAAATAAATCTTCGAATGGCGTTGATTGAGCATTCTACTACTGTTTTTTTTTCAGTAGGTTTTGCCCTTGACAGTGAGCCGATACAACAAAACCGGTCGACATTTCTTCTAACTTGTCATTCTGTTCCCGATTATTTAACATAATTCTTGGTGGGGCAAATTTTTTTTAACAAAAAATAGTTTTGTCCAAAATTGATGCGGCAGAATCCAAAGAACGAAAGATCAATTTGGTTTGTCCTTAGAAGTTATTTTAATTTTGAAGTTAAAGAAATTTTCAATAAAAATTTCAAAAACAAAATTTATTACTCCATACACATTTTTCTTTAATATGTTTGAGTTGAAATACAATATGTGAAAATAATTTGTTCATCATCACAATGTGTCTATGTATTGATTTTACTGTCACTGCTTTGTGTGAATAATTACCGGATCATCCTGTTCTACCATGGCACCGAACCAGACTTTGAGGTAAAGTAGTGAACCAGGTATTTTCTAATTTACCTCCCCTCATAGGTTCCGTTGTTCCTTGCCCTCTCATGGTAAACATCCAGGATTACTTTGTCATTTCTCCATGCCCCTGTAGTGACATTCTGGTTCTGGTTCTCTAAGTCCATCAGGTTGATGAGGGTGGCTAGATTTCTCAGTCTGATGAAATTGTGAAAGATCGCACAAGTTGTGATGATTTTTTTGCATATCTCTGGTTCATGGGTCTCAGCAAAACTCTAAATTTGTGTGCTAGAATACCAAAGGCATTCTCCATTACACGCCAGGCGCTTGAGTGTCTGTAGTTAAATATTCTCTCATAATGCTCCATGTTTCTAATGGTAAACGGGTTAACCAGGCGCATGTTGATCCCAAAAGCATTGTCCTCTACTATGTAGTATGGGACAGGAACGTCATCACCAGGTAACAACCTATGTTTTCAGGATGATTGAATATGTTGTTTGGACTTTCCATGCCTTCCTTTAGTTCTGACCCATTGAATATACTGGCATCGTTGATGGAACAACCAGAGCCGACACCAATCCAGAGAAACTTGTAGTCTGCGTCGACCAGGGCCATGGAAACAATGGAGAAGAACTCCTTGTTGTTTCTGTCCACAAAGCCAACATCACAAGGACAGGTGACCGCCACATGCTTGCCATCCAGAGCACCACATCCGTGTGGAAATTGCCGTCTCCTCTCAAACTGCTGTTCAGCAACGGCAGCACACTCCTCAGTTGTAGTAAGACACTGGATCACTTCAGCAGCTGTCTCAGCTTTGATTGCCTCGCAGTCTCCGGATCCATTGATGATAAGGGAGATCGTGTTTGGAGCAACTCTGAAGTTGTAGGACAGGCTTGGGTAATTGTCACCACAGGTCAGGTGTTGTAAAGGATTTGGCAGCTTGAGACCAGGAGGCAGAGACATTCTGTACCATGTGTCCTTCTCTATTCTTCATTCAACCCTTCGCAGAACCTCATCGCAGAGGCCTCTGGGAAGTCTCGTGTGGTTGAAGAAGGCATTCTCATCTTCTGTCTACAACTCCTTAAGTACAGTGCTTTAAGTGGGCATAGTGTTCTCTTCTTATGTCAGACAGCCATTTCTATACCCACATAGACCTCAGTTGCCTCCTTTGCCTCTGTTTCCCGGTTTTCCTTAGTATATTGTCGGCGTGAGGCGAGAAATTCCAGATGACAACAATGATCACATGAAGTAAAGATGACACGATTTGACAAGATATCCTAACGATGGCCCTAAGAAGGGCAAAAGGGACATACGAATTCGACACAAAAATGAATCTTCCCAAAGATTTTCGAAAATGTTTTGGCACGCCAAAGATTTAATTTGGCAGCTGATCATTAACGGGATTTATATGTTGGTGATGGGGACATTTCATTGTTTGAAATTTGTTCATGAGATATTCCTGAATAAAAGCCACCAGAAGGTTTATGACTAGTTAACTCTTTTCAAAGTGGTATGTAACAGAATGAAAGTTAAATACCAAATTATAAAAGGAAAATATTAAAAGGATGAGACAATTCATTCAAATTGGTGATCTGCCTGAGTTATTTGAAAAGTTGACTCTCGTGATGTATATTGTGACATGTTCCAAGAAGTCCCATTTGTTTAAAAAAAACTATGTTTTTATTTGTAGGCTGGTATAAACCCCGATAAACTAATTCTTGCACTTGAACCAGAAGCAGCATCTATTTTATGTCAGTATTTACCAATTACCAAGTCTGAAATGGGATTTACAATGTCTAAGATAGGAACAGAATATATGGTTGTTGATCTAGGAGGTAAATAACACTTCAATTTGTTGTAAATTGAATTTTAAATGAGTTTGTGCATATAATATCATCGACACACGTTTTATATAAAAGTCGGTATACATATTATACAATCGACACAAGTTTTACATAAATGTCGGTACATAAAAAAATAATCGACACAAGTTCTATAAACATGATAAAAAAATCAGTGTATGTTATATTTTATTTTGGATCTTCACAGGGGATATGTGCTCATATTCCCTGTCAGTGTTTTATATCTCATCAGCCGCCAGGCGAAGGGGATATAGGGCACCGACAAGGAATATGAGCCCATATCCCCTGTGGAGCCCGATTAAAAATTATATTATGCTGGAGTGTCATCGTTTTCAACACTTAGTACCATTTTTATCTTTACTTCCTTCACAGAGAAATGAGCAAATCAAATTGCAGGATTAACCGGGATATTTCATCTGTCCTCTCATTAAATAATTCAAAATTTGGTGACTATGTTGAAAAAAACTCATTATAAATGCTAGGATTAAAATTGAACGTATATGTCCTATCGAAAAAATAAAAGGATACCACAGATTCAGGTAATAAAATTGAGAATGGAAAAGGAGAATGTGTCAAAGAGACAAGAATAAAGTCTGCCTCATATCTTGACGTACATTCAGCTATTGACAATGAGGGTCGGTTGAAAATAGAACTTTGCGACAAAAGAGGTGATTTAATCTTCCCAGTTATGAACTCTATTTTCTATGTAGTCCAGTAGTACCTATGCAGGATGCCTAAATATAGATATGAACCATTTCCAACCACTGAAAAATGAAAGAGACAAAATATGAAATTAACTTCCCTTGGTGTATTGTCAAAACGTAAAATAGACAGTAGTTTTAACGATATGGGTTACGCTAGAGACTATAGAAGTGGATTCGGAAATGGTTGTCAACTTGCAACTAACGTTGCGCGTTGATTATCGTTTACAAATCCACCACTTTTTATACATTTGCATTATCCTGTCCATTTTACCACGTATTTGACTCTACAAAATTAGATTTATCACCGAGTGTGTACTTACATGAATAACACGACGAATGTCACATGCGGAGCAGGATCTACTTACTCTTCCGGGGATCTGAGATCACCCCCGGTTTTTGGTGGGGTTCATGTTGCTCTGGTATTTGACGTTTAGTTTTTCTATTTTGCGTTTTGTAATCTCTTGTTTGTCTTTGGGTCGTTTTTCGAGTTTTTTTTGCAATGGCATTGTCAGTTTGTCATCGACTTTTGAGTTTGAATATCCTTTGGTAAAGTCCGCCTGTCTTTTATAACTGATATTAAGATTTGCAATTGAAACGCGTGCCATAAAATGACAGGCGAGAAGTTTTACAAATGCATATTATGTGATATTATAGTATTTTCAATTATCAGGAGGTACTGCTGATATTACTGTCCATGAGAAGGTAGAGAAAGATCAACTCAAAGAAAAACACCGAGCTACAGGAAGCAATTGTGGCGGAACGTCGGTAGACAACAGATTTTTTATTTTGCTGGAGAATATATTTGGTAAACAGTTGATGGAATCACTAAAGAAAGAGGATCCATTGGCTTATTTGGACATCGAGAGAGGATTTGAAGCTGCAAAAAGGAATATCGACCCCAACAATAAAGTTAAAGTAACAATGACTATTCCATTTACAACTCTTGATAAATTATGCAAAGAAATCAACAATAAAGGGCTGGAAACATTAGTGAAAGCTTCAGATTATGCAAACGAAATTAAGCTACATGGTGACAAAATACGCTTTAATGTTGGTTTAATTATAAATTTATTCCAGCCTTCCATTGATAGTGTTATATCATTGATGAGGGAGGTTCTTAGTACAAAAGGGGTCACTCATTTCCTAATGGTTGGAGGGTTTTCAGAATGTAACTTATTACAAAATGAAATCCGCAAATCCTTCCCTGGGAAACGAATTATCATACCAAAGGATGCTGGATTGTCTGTTTTGAAAGGGGCTGTGTTATTTGGTCATCGTCCCGATTATATCAAATCACGAATAATGCCTAGAAGCTATGGTGTAATGACAAGCCTTCTTTTTGATTCACGGAAGTTTGACGAGAAATACCGTGTTGTTATGGATGGCGAGGAAAGATGCGACAAAATATTTTCCTTGATTGCTTCAGTAGACGACAGCGTAGAAGCTGGGACAAAAGTTGAGAAGTCGTATTTTACTCCATTCCCTAATCAAGAAAAGATGGACTTCAATGTTTACGTTTCGACCGAAGCTAATCCATGCTATGTCGACGAAGAAGGCTGTAAACATCTGTGTACGCCCACAATAGAATTCCCAGACATTTGTCCAGACAAACGTTGGGTTGACGTAGAATTCGAACTCGGAAACACGGAAATCAAAATGATTGCCAAAGACAGGAAATCAGGAAAACAAATTAAGGCACAGATCAACCTTCTCCACCCATAATATTTAGACAGATAATGCAAATGAGACTTCTGTCTCTTTCAAATATTCAATTCTCAATTTTTAATTAATTATTCATATACATAATCTGTTTTATTTGTAGTACGTATTATATGGTAAGTTAGTAAACGTCATGCATATACTTATAAAAACTCATTGTGTTTCTGTACTTACAAAGCCATGACGGGTAACTCTACATTAAAACATTACGCATCTATAAAATCTAAGTCACACATTAGTCCGATCTCAGATATGCTTTCTTCTAGTTTGCATTTGGAAGTCGCAATGCATTAGAATATATGTATATTAGGTTTGAAAAAAAACTATTAAAATTTAAGAATTCTTAGTGATATAAAATGAACTGAAACAGAAGGGCGTATGTTATCCGAAACTCACTTTACTGTCGTCAAAGTTAGTAATTAGGCCCCTGCTGAAAGAGTATTTGCAAGTATCTGCATAACGAAAAGGTACAAACCTAGGGGTATACACTCACACTTACAGTTAAAACACAAAATAAAACAAAATCAAGTTTGTACAAATAAAAGAAGAAAGAACCGGGCCTTTAACAGCAAACTACTGGTACGTTATTGGATTTGCTCAAGTTCGATCAATGACTATAAAAGTAACTTTGACCAGCGTCCTTGTGGTATCTGATTGATAGTTATCTCATTGATAATCATACCACATCTCCTTTTATTAAAAGAAATACTTAGACTAATTATTATTTTTCTAAATGCATGAAGTCTTTTTGAGACTTAATCATGACATATTCAATGAATTTGACTTGACTAAGTCATAAGTTGCTATTGATTGTGGATAATAATTACTCTAACTCAACATTTTAACCTTCATACTTAATCATTGTATATAAAAATAATAAGATGTGGTATGTGCCAATGAGACAACTCTCATCAAAGATGAAATTGACATAGACGGTAAGGAATTATTATAAGTCACTTTACGGCCTTCAACATTGAGCAAAATACATACCGCAAATCAAGCTATAAAAGGACCCAAAATGAAATATGGAAAATAAATCAGACCAGAAAAATTAAGGCCTGTATTATGTAAAAAAATAATAAACGAAAAACAATTATGGTAAACAGCAACAAACGAAAACCACTGACTTACTGGCTCCTGACTTGGGAAAGGCACACACATAATGTGGCGGGTTAAATATGTTTTCTAGGCGTGACAATCCTTTTAGATGTTAATTCTTTATCAAAGTTTTCATGCATATCCATGTTTATCATTAAAATGTTAAACTGATATGGCCTGATTTCGTTTCTTTCGTGTTAATGGAATGGGTTGGGTGATTGTCTCAATGGTAAAACTAAAAAACTCTCCCTTAGAGTTAAATTGTCGGTCCTTACACAAATAGAGATATCACGGATTAAACGTAAACACGACTACACAACATGAACTATTCTATAAATTGTCTGTTTGCTGTAAGATATGCTTCGTGTATATGCTGTTGTTCAGACAATCTGAAAGTAAACAGCCATACTATTGGACCTCCATGCTATACTTTTTTGAAATTTTCACTGTCCTGATAATCAAAATAGAAATTTACTTGCTATTCCATTTTTTCATTAAAACGTAAAACGACTCATTTCCAATTTTGGTCTTTGTATGTGAAAAATGAATAAAAAATGAAGGATTGACTCAATGGTAAAATCACACAGCTCTCCTTTAGATGGTCGGTTTTCTCCTTTAGATGGTCGGTTCTCTCCTTTAGATGGTCGGTTTTCTCCTTTAGATGTCGGTTCTCTCTTTTAGATGTCGCTTCTCTCCTTCAGATGGTCGGTTCTCTCCTTTAGATGGTCGGTTCTCTCCTTTAGATGGTCGGTTCTCTCCTTTAGATGGTCGGTTCTCTCCATTAGATGGTCGGTTCTCTCCTTTAGATGGTCGGTTCTCTCCTTTAGATGGTCGGTTCTCTCCTTTAGATGGTCGGTTCTCTCCTTTAGATGGTCGGTTCTCTCCTTTAGATGGTCGGTTCTCTCCTTTAGATGGTCGGTTAAGCGGGGAGGCGACACAATTGGAAAAATCATTTGTTAAACATTAACAATACAGCAACATAACAATATTGAAAGACAGAAACAGCTTTTTGGAGTAGGTTCATTTTTTTTCAGAATGATACATTTTTATTGGCACAAAGAAAGCAACTGGTGTATTATTAGATAGCCAATCTCTATGTCATGCACTTCATTACTTAGTCCGTATTTACATGTATCAGTATTTACGTGTATCGGTCTTTCATATATATCGGTCTTTTCATGTAACGGTAATAGCATGTATCGGTATTTAAATATGTATCAGTATTTACATGTATCAGTATTTACATGTATCAGTATTTACATGTATCAGTATTTACATGTAGTGGTATTTACATGTATCAGTATTTACATGTAGTGGTATTTACATGTATCAGTATTTACATGTATCAGTATTTACATGTAGTGGTATTTACATGTATCAGTATTTACATGTAGTGGTATTTACATGTATCAGTATTTACATGTAGTGGTATTAATATGTATCAGTACTTACATGTAGTGGTATTTACATGTATCAGTATTTACATGTAGTGGTATTAATATGTATGAGTATTTACATGTAGTGGTATTTACATGTATCAGTATTTACATGTATCAGTATTTAAATGTAGTGGTATTAATATGTATCAGTATTTACATGTAGTGGTATTTACATGTATCAGTATTTACATGTAGTGGTATTTACATGTATCAGTATTTACATGTATCAGTATTTACATGTAGTGGTATTAATATGTATCAGTATTTACATGTAGTGGTATTTACATGTATCAGTATTTACATGTATCAGTATTTACATGTAGTGGTATTAATATGTATCAGTATTTACATGTAGTGGTATTTACATGTATCAGTATTTACATGTAGTGGTATTTACATGTATCAGTATTTACATGTAGTGGTATTAATATGTATCAGTATTTACATGTAGTGGTATTTACATGTATCAGTATTTACATGCATGTAATGGTATTTACATGTATCGGTATTTACATGTATCAGTATTTTTATGTAGTGGTATTTACATGTATCGGTATTTACATGTAGTGGTATTTACATGTAGTGGTATTAATATGTATCAGTATTTACATGTAGTGGTATTAATATGTATCAGTATTTACATGTAGTGGTATTAATATGTATCAGTATTTACATGTAGTGGTATTTACATGTATCGGTATTTACATGTATCAGTATTTACATGTAGTGGTATTAATATGTATCAGTATTTACATGTAGTGGTATTTACATGTATCGGTATTTACATGTATCAGTATTTACATGTAGTGGTATTAATATGTATCAGTATTTACATGTAGTGGTATTTACATGTATCAGGTATTCGATACGAACCGAATACCTGCATTGGAAGAGTTATTTTTGTTTAAACCGAATAGTTTTGTATTGTTATACATGTTATATGAATAGATCAAAAATATTATAAAAATGCTTGTAGGCTTTATTATTGACTAAGTTTAATCGTCGGCTAGCTGCATTGGTATTATACGCCTTTTTAACATGTCAACAAGCTCTTGTCTAAGACAAATAAATAAGTCATAAACATGCCTACTTAATTGTATCGCCTTTCTTCCAAATAAAACATATTTTTAATCTTGACACCAAGTTGATCAGCTGCTCATTGAAGGTCGACTGGTAGATATTTACAATAAGTGTACGACGCCGAGAAAAATTGGGATTGGGGATTTCTACAACATTTTCATTCAGCTTCATTCAGTATGGTAAAATCTAATAATGACAACATAAAGTTTCCTTATTTCGCAAACCCCGTGGATTTTATGCTAATGGGACTCTTTGGCTGGAGGGATACATCAGAAAGCAGCCAATAATCGATGGCAACATTTGAGAAATTGTTGAAGGCATTGATAGCTATAGAGAAAACACTCAAAGTTTTAAGGGGTTCTTTAATCAGTATTTTAGGACATATGTAGATACCATAGGTACTTGCACGGGGACAAGACGATGTTTGTCAAGCCCCCCTTTTTCTCCATAATCCGTTAAAATATTTTTTGCTATTATTTTCAATTATTTTTGGGTTTTTCTGTACTAACTATCCACAGTGCTCATTGGTATATTATATAGATCAACTAGAAGCATATAAAGAAAATAATTGGAATTAATAGAAAACAAAAAAAATAACGGATTTTGAAAAAAAAGGGAGAGGGCTTAAAAGCATTGCCCTGTCACCAAGTACCTATGGTTGATACGATCCCTTTATTTATTTAGTCGGTGTAAAGAAGACTTTTCGAAAATGTCTACTTTTACAAAACGTACTACTACTTCATTGGCGATTCCAATTGATGCAACTACGTCCCTTTCAAAAATTCTGGACCTGCTTTGGTTCTCGAGGAGCTATACAAATCGACCATATGTTGTTAAGTTTTGCCTAGAGAAGAATACATCTACCCCACCCCCAAATACCCAATAAACTGGTGCGATATACACTTAAATTTAGATAAATTAAAAACTGGCAAAAGGGAAATAATCATGATGTGATATGCCAGTCTTGAGATTTACAATCACTCGGGTATTATCTTACCTGTTTTGGAAAACACCCAATTCATTCGCACATTTCTTTAAATAGATTTAATGGAAGTGTTGCATAATACGAATGTGACAAGCCAAACAATGTACCAGTGGTATGGTGATATCTCAGAGTAACAAAGGTATGATAATATTTTACTACTAAATACCAGTAATAAACCTAATTTTACCAGTTTTGTTTTACGTTGTACGTAACTTTAAAGTTGTAACTTTCGTTTTACATATGTTCATAAAGGTAGGTACTTATTTTTATACAACTTTGATGATAATATCGCATATTATTCGTCCATTGATGTTTGATATCATCCTGTCCTATTATTTATGCCAAATACCTGAAATTGTAGAGACAGGATCTAACCAAACAAAAAATACGTGACGTATTTAAATAAAAGACAAGGTCGACACATATTAATGGATTCAGAACAGCGATATAAATATCTTGAAACAAAGTTTTTAATAAAATAATCGATGCAGCAGGGTACCGTGGTAATGATTTCCATTGCTCAACAATACGGTAGTTATAATACTTTATTTTGACATCCTTACAATAAATCTATAAATAGAAATGGGGAATTTAGTCAACTTGAGGACATTGAACTTCGTAAATAAAGTGGTCATTATCATTTCGATTTTGTTTCCGAAGCTAGGAATTAAATGGAACATTAGTGCACATTGTCAAATAAGCTTTTTGTCATTTTGATACATGAGTTTATTATCAATTGCTGTAGCTTCTATTTATTTAGTTACATTTACGTTTATATATACATCGCCGGTGCCGATCTATAAATTTAATCGTGAATGAGGAAAATTATTTTAGAAATAATACACATCAAAACACTTTTAAAGGTCAAAGCTGGTCAGGGGCGTAGCTGCCGTTAGGCACTTTAGGCACGTGCCTAAACATAATTTTTTCACAAATATTTTTGTATTAAAAAAGCTAATGACAACGTTATCTGTAGATACACGTGAAGTCGTCAAATTTCTTTGATTATCAAATGTAATTTGTACACTAGTCTATCATCCTTATTGAATGAAGTATTGGGTAGAATTGTATGTACATTATATTCCACCTTGAATAGAAACTAAAACTAGAACTTTGGTTCACATCATTTCACTTCTACCAACAAATACTCGAATGAGCCTCAACATGCTCAAAACCATGACATTTTATTCTTAGATACATGATTTTTTTATTAGTTGTTGTTGGCTTTCAACTAGCTTTTTTTCCACTTGGTCTTCATCCGATCTACAATAAAACCCTTGTCAAAGTGGGGCGTCCGCTTGGCTGTGCGGGATGTATAAATACGCTGTCTTGTCTGGTCAGAAAGGGGACGTTAACTCCGATGCCTAGTGTATAGAGAATGCCACGCTTTTTGCACGGTAAGAACACTTGCAACAACTCTTTGAGGGGTCCGTAGGTGGTCTGCTGAAAGACAAAATTTCTGTCCCTATCCACTAAACCATCATTTACCTATCTCCGCTACGCGTCGCTAGGTAAACTCAATTTGCGACAGTAAAATCTACGTTTTAAGAAGGCCAAGCTTAAAATTCAATACAGTTATCTCCTAATTTTCTAATGTCATTTTCAAATTTTCAAACCTTCATTCTGGACGACCCCTATTACAGGACCTAGTGGCTACCTGTTGTATTTATTGTTAATTTGTTTTTGTCCTGAACATGCATAACTATTTGCCACTGGACGTCAAGTTGGCAATCAATCAATCAACTGGCTTTCAGTAACTTCGAGTACTCTCAGATCTACGTATAATGACCATAATTATTCCTAAGGCTAAAGCAGGTAGGGATTTTACAGTAGAGGATATCAGAAAATATGAATTTCTTGAATTTTGTCACGATAGTATGAACTTCTGCATTGGGAATCAACTGTGTGTGAGTGTATGTGTTTGTGTGGCCGGGGTGAAAGTTTAAGAATCAAAAGATGGATGGTCGATGTCTAGCCCAAAGGATAGTATTATTATATATTTTAGTCTCAGTGTTTACGTGCCTATTCTTTTAATGAAGGATCGTCTATATGTACTATCAATCAACGTATATATCAACTATTGTCAACCAGAAAGGAATAGATATGAAAATACTAAATAGGATGTCTGTACTACTTAATAAAGGGCTACGCTGATCTACGCTGGGCAATGCATATTGTAAATAAACATATATATTTTTTTTAGATTTCCGATCGTACTGCGCTAATTCACCAGATGTTATTGTAAATTTATTTATAATTCTTCGAATTTTCTTCATGTGTATTATCATGATAAAATAACCAGTAAATTTAATACTTTTTGTACACAAAATTTTGCAACTATAATGCTGAAAACCGTTTCCTGTCGTGGGGCCCCGCCCCCCAGAACCCCCTACCAGGGCTCTGCCCTGGACCTGCTGGTGGCCTTTAGCGGCCCCCAGACCCCCTGCCGCAATTTGTGCCTACAGTTGATCGGATACCTAGCTACGCCGCTGCTGGTAGCTGAAGAAACACAGGTCTTATGCCCAGTTGTCAAAGCCGGTAACTGAATCGATTTCCATCGTATTGTCTTGTGGTCAAGGATAATCCTAATGGAGTGATATCCGTTGTATTGCCCAGTTGTCAAAGTTCGTACATGAAGCGAAACCCGTCGTAATGCTCAGTGGTCAATAACTGAACCTATAACCGTCATATTGGCCAGTCGTCAAATACGATAAAGAGCCAACATCCATCGTATCACACAGTGTGCTAAGTAGGTTACTGTAGCGACACCCGTTTGCCCATTGATCAAAGTTGGTAACTGAAGCGATACCCTTCTTATTGTCCAGTGGCCAAAGTAGATTACCGAAGCAACATCCATCGTATTGCCTAGTAATATTAGTAGACATTAGTAGATTTTGGGAATTTTTTCTTCATCATTTTCAAATTGTAAACGTGGTCATCTTTATTATACACTAGATTACGATTGATTGATTGATGGATTGGTGTTTAACGCCACTTTCAACACTATTGTGCTATTTCGTGGCGGTCAGTTTTTATTGGTGGAGGAAGTCGGAGTGCCCGGAGACAACCACCGACCTTCGGTATGAAAACTGACAATCCTAGTCAACAGATTTACCGTCCAGTGAGAGATATTTCTTTATTTATTAGGATACAGTTAAAGAAAGAAACAGGTTTGATTACCCACCCTTCCCCTTTCCTAAAAAAAGAGGGGCGGGACCCAAGTTTACATTTTCATACAAGTGTCCGTATCCTTGATTTGGTTAACTTTCTATATTTAGATTGGAAAGTTTTTCCAGGTCCCGCGCGTCTCTCGAGCGGATTATGACGTCACGAGGCTTGTTCATATAAGCGAAAACTTAGCAAATTTCTTTCTTTTTAGGTGGAGATGTTGGACAGACAACATGTATATCGACGGAATAACACATAGCGTATACTTTTAAGAATTATCTCGTTGTAACTTTTGAACATACATTCGGACAGTTTTGAGCTTAATGTGTAAAATGTGAGATTCACTTATTGTCGAGTATCGAGTTGCGAGTTACAAAAGTCGAGTTGCGAGTTACGAAAGTCGAATTGCGAGTTACGAAAGTCGATTTGCGAGTTACGAAGGTTCAGTTGCGAGTTGCGAAGGTCGAGTTGCGAGTTACAAAAGTCGACTTGCGAGTTACGAAGGTCGAGTTGCGAGTTACGAAAGTCGAGTTGCAAGTTACGAAATTAGATTTGCGTGAAAATGGGGAAACTATTTTAATTTTTTGGTGTACATCTTTAACATTTTTGAATGATGATTGCTTATAGAATTATATACAGTATTGTTGTTTCTTTTTGTTGTTTGGACTTCATCTGAGTCTCGTGTAAAAAAAATGAATGGATTGCTTACATAATCACTACGCAAAGTATGGTTATTTTCTGAAGAAACAGATAGCCTTTTGAAATACAGCGGATGGCTTGATGTAGTTTAATTGTTATTAAACTTCATAGCTAGCACCATCATATTAAACGTAAAGGGAGATAGCAACTAAACTATAGTACATACATGTAAAAGACTCCTTCTGCAGATTTCGTTTGGGGCAGCTGCAGAGGCAATATTTGTTAGGGACCCCAAAATGTATTCTTTGGCAGTGACACTCAAAATTGTGGACGTTTAAGTTATATATGTCTACATTGGCTAGAGGTGAAGGGGGAAGGTTGAGCGCTCATAAAACCTGCTTAACCCCGCCGCATTTTTGCGTCTGTCCTAAGTCAGGAACCTCTAGCCTTTATTGCTCTTGTATATTTTTTAATTTTGGTTCATCTATATGTTTCGGAGCATAGACTGGCGTCCATTTTCTTGATCTAGTGTACATTGTGTTTCGGGGCCTGCTCGGGGATGCCTCTGTGTGTGGGATTTCTCGCTGTGTTGAAGACCCATTGGTGGCCTTGGGTTGTTTTGTATATTTTGGTTGGGTTGTTGTCTCTTTGACACATTCCCCGTTTCCATTTTTTATTCTATACATGTAGCTGTCAAAGATACTTTTGTAAAAGAGACAAAAGATGCAGTTTTGGAATATGTAGCTTCTTTCTAAAATACGGGCTAATCATACAAAAATGTACAATACCCAGCTGATATCTGAAACTACAACATTTGTATCAATTAGGCTGCATGCCGGTAAAAAAGTGAACTTGTGACAGACAGGGCTTCCGTGCTCATACCGTAAAACACACGCCATAACATTCCTTAAAACTGTTCCTTTATTTTTTGTAACTGTTCCTTTATTTTTTGTAGAATAATGTCATTCCAAATTAAAAAAATAATCCATATTATGATCTCCTATGCCAGGAAGTTACCATAATGCCATAGAAAGACATTTATAGCATGCTTATTTTTGCGTTGTAGTATTCAGATATACGTACATTGAACAACTCGATTATTACTATTTGGTATATATATGCGTGACTTTGCAACATATAGACTCTTATAAATAAGTATCACAGAACTCTTTCAAATCCTGCAATCAAAATACCGGGACCCTTCCTCATGCAGTGTATAACTAAGTTCGGGTACACGTATATGCTTTGCTTATTAAATGCGAAAACCTGAAAATTCTGTTTAAAAAAAAAACAGATGACACGACCGTTTATATAAATATAATGAGAAACATA